TATATATATATATACCTATTTCGTAATTATGCAAAATGGAGATAAATCCTGTAATAATAAAGTACTTGATGTAAAAGTGATACTTGGTACTAATTTATACTACCTATTTATACCAAGATATACTGGTTGGTATTAAATAAGTGCTTAGTATACTCTTGACTGTCGGGCAGCTGTCACAGCTCCAAGTCATCAAATTTATAAATATAGGACTCAGGAGCATGGGTCGTTTAATCTACATTTTATACAAACTAAATACTGTATTTTAAAGGAAATCAAATTATCAATATTTAACGATTTTTTCTTTATGTTATAAACGAATGGGTATATTATTTGGACGAATTCTATATATATATACACACAGAGTCCACGCTAAGGATTTCAAGTTATTAGCCAGTAAATTATCCAAATATCAAAAGTATTCACCAATTTTTGAAAGTATTCGTCAAATGCATATCTTAACAATTATTTATAATTAATTTTTTCCCATAGAAAACTATTTTACGGTGGTTTGCTTCAGGTTTATATTACATAATTGAACCGAATTCTAATTGGTTATGCGGCGCATCTACCGAAAGTTACTGTAATCGAATATAAAATGCTGATTTTTATAGAAAAATTCATTTTGAGGATCGAGTTAAATCAACACCTCCTAGAAGAAGGAAGCCCTCAGCACGAATGAATTCAGTAGTCCGATCTAACGAAGTTAACTGCGCAGTAGATGAAAAATAAGAAAGATGTCATTTCGTTAAGGATACTAAGCTGCGCAGTGGTTGAAAATACGAAATATATCATTACGTTTGGACTACTAAAGGATATTTATGGTTACCCGTGCTAAGGTCTGCTCTTATCTAGGAGGTGTTGGTTAAATATTTATTTATTTCCAGTGGAAGAAATTATTCGCCAATACTTTCGCCAAAACACAATTTTATTCGCCAAATTTACGATTTTATCGCATTTGGTGAGGTAGCGGATGCTTAGCGCGGGCCCTGTATATATATAAACGCCGAAGTATCAGTGCTAGACAGTCTATTGAAATTGCAGAATTTTTCGGAAGAACATCGATACTTATTTTTCATCTCTTCATGACTTAATACTGTTTCTAAAAGAAAATATCTAGACTTTCATTTGGTTGATTATTTTTCCTTTTCCTTTTGCAGCAAAACCACCGTCCATAAGAGGTTTAGTTGATGAAAGAGCAAAAATGCATGCCAAAGTGAAACTGAAATGCCGTATCTCAGGGAATCCACCACCGAAAGTGGTCTGGTTTAAAGACGGTCTCAAGTTAAAGCCCGACGGTAGAGTAAAACTCAGGGCAAAAAGGTAAACAATATAAAATTTATACATTGCCAAAAAGAGTGTTTTATTTCAATGTCCTTATTACGTCTTTCCATAAGAAAAAATAAATATTGACTTTCATATTAAAATAAGGGGTAGGAAAAAGAGGTTTTGAGAGACTTTGATTACTATATCAGGGCGCGAAGTATCCTCTAGCCAGCTCGCCATTGGTGGCCAAATATTTAGGGTTGGAGAGTAAGTTTTGTCCTGTTAGATATTGTTTTCCAAATTGCCATATTGTGCCTGAAGTTTGCCATGGACAAATATTGAAAACGGTGAGCAAGAGTTTCAGACTTTAAGAAGTAGATGGATAAAACATGAACAAACATATACATCACAAAAACACTGTAATCAATGTCATCAGAGGCATTTAGCATCTTTGCACGTTTTTAACATCATGGGTTTTCATCTCAAAGATTCTGAAATTTGGGATAAGAGACTTATAGAAACCCTTCGTGTAATTAAACCAAAATCTCTTTAATAATAAAGGGTTGAATTCAAATTTATGTTCACTTCTCTAACGCGGACTCAGAGGCCGGAAAAATTGGACAGCGAAGTGAGTTCAACGAGTTTCCCAGATTTGCTTCAGATTATAACATTTCATATTATGACATTTTAGATTATAACATTCTAAAGTTTTCAGTTTCTACATTGTTTTATGGTTTTTGCCACCAAAAAAGTTCTTGAAAATACATGTTTTAAAGTTTTTAAAATTGTTCTTATTTTTCGTAAAAATAGTGCTGAGCAAAAATTTCAATCTGGCTGATACCTTAAGAACTTAAATTTCATGCCTTGATCTATATAGTGCATAAGGATAGTTTAAATGTAATAAGCAAAGTCTAGGATCTTTAAAATTATAAGAATCGTGTATTAAGTTTAAGTATAAAGGATTCACTCAGCAATATGGATCAACTGATACGTTATTTCACATTACAATCTCATTGAAGTTACTAATTACTTCTACAGAAAAAAAACACTGAGAGATATTAATAAATAACATAAATCAACAATTGCAACGATTGCATATATGATCATATGAAATAGCAATATGAATGTTATTTCATATTGCAATCTCTTTGAAGTTAATAATTGCTTCTCCATAAGAAAACAGAGACATAATAATAAGTAATATGAATCAACTGATGCGTTATTTCTAATTGTAATCTCTTTGAAGTTGATAATTACTTTTCCAGAAGAGGACACAGAGAGATACTTCTCTCCATAACAGCAGTTTCTCTTGTCACAATTTGTTTATAATTTGATATTTTGATCCAGCTTTTATAACTTCATAATTTTTCCTCTTGATTCATCTAAGTCCATTATTCTTTCTATAATCTAAATTTTAAATTACTAATACAATTAAAAGAGAACTTGCAATGAAGTATTTTTCCAGAGGTAGAGGTTCCTCTTAACAAAATGGCATTACACTAGTTCAACCCACTACAACTTTATTAAAATACCATTACACGATAATATGAATTACAAGATTAAATTATATTATGGTTTTAACTAGAATGGAAATTAAATTTTTCGGTTACAGCAAAGCGGCACAAAATAATAGTCTTCTGATATTAATACTCAACTTTAAAGAAAATGTTTCCAGAGTTTTGTTTAAAGCAAAATTAAACATACAATATTCTTTATTTACTTTTAATTCCATATCCAATAGGATTAAAATTTAAAAGAAAATTACAAAATGTTTTTGAAAATTACCAAATTTGACTGAAATTTTATAGGAAACTAAGTGCTAATGATATCTGAAATACTGAATTTTTCACTATTAGAACAATAATAAAGCAAAGATGTTACGTAAAACAATAAAGATACGATATGAAACTCATATTTTCCATAATAGTAAATTCATAAAAATTTTAAATAATAATACAAAAAATAATAATAAATAAACAAATAATACATTATTTTACACGTATTTAAGCTCCAACTTCTCATCAAAAATTTCATTTCCAAATTTACACAAATTTTAGGTCCAATGCAATTTTAAATAATATTATGATTTGCTTTTTATAGTGTAGAACTAATATACATTTTAAATAAAATAAATATCAATCCACTGATGCAAGTTAACAAATAGGAAGTTAATATAAATATTCTGTTGTATTTCAGGAAATATTCCCATTTAATTATCAATAAAGCAAACCTTAGTGATATAGGAGAGTATGAATGTATAGCAACAAATGTACTGGGAAACGCAACAGCCTCAGCAACCGTCAGTATATCAACAATAACAACAGGTATGTTTTTTCTCTTACATATACATATAATATACATGTATATGCATATAATATACATATAATATGCATATACATGTAATATATACATATATTACGAATTTAATTACGAGTACAGGAATTATGTATCTTACGTACCAGAATTAAAGTACATAAGATATATATGCAAAAATTAAAATGGAGAGCATTTTATAATGATGCCTTTCAGACTATATATGCGTTTGGACTATAAATACGTACGTTTTTTTACGTTGCCATTCGTGCTATTTAAATTTCAACATAAATTTTGAAATTTAATTTTTTCCAGATTCTACGCTATGGCCCTTTGTAAATGAACCCTGTCCGAAAAAAAATTTCTGTTTGAATGGAGGAGTTTGCATATACATAGCCGTTGTTAAAGAATATGCTTGCGAGTAAGTCTTGAAAATTTATTTTATAGTTTTATTTTTTATATTGTTATAAGAAATTATTTACGGCAAATTTTTAAAAATATTGTAGTTCCCCAATATTCAGACGCACATGATCATTTGACATTCATCCCAATTTGGGTTCTCTCTTATCTGTTGTTGTTGTTGGGCATTAAGGAAGTGGGAGTGCGATTGTTCTTGCTTCCCAGTGGCGCCATCTATGGCCAAGAATTTTACTTTTGACACGAAGTTATACGTCACACCCGTTTATAGGGCTGACCCATTCATTCGTCCACAGATCCTAATTTTGGCCTGAACCAAAGAACGATCAATTTCCAATTCAGTACCCCCAGATGTATTGATTTGTTATGGGAGCATGGAGAACTTTGTGACCCGACATATTTAATGTGCACCAGTCACCATTTACTGCACGGAGAGTCTTCGGCCATCTGGAGTCGAATTCCCATTCTCACAAGCGTGAGTCCACCACCCTTCCAACCAGGCTATCCGGCCTTTCTCTTATCTGTAGAGCTAGGTTGGGATTTTATTTTTAAGAAAATTTTGATCCTAATCATATGGCGCTTTAGCTATCTGTACTCGCTCTAACTTGCAAACAAATATTTGAGGATCCTGTGCGAGATTAAATTCTAAAATTATTAACAGTGACCATAGGGCACACTTAGTATGTACACTTAGTTAGTACACTTTCAACCAAATGTATCTGAAAAGATAATTTGCGAATTTATTCAAAACATTTTCAACCTGATCATAGAACGCATTCGGTTTTTCTACATTTCTCCCAACCTGCTATATCTGAGAAAGTTATTTGCGACTTAATTCAAGAAATTTTAACCCAGGACAAAGAGAACAATCAGTTTACCGACATCCTTCCTAACTTATAACCAAATATATTTGTGAAGTTAACTTACAACTTTAGTCAAAAAATTTTAACTCAGCACAACCATAGAGCGCACTTAGTTTTCCAACATCCCTGCAACTTGCAACTTTATTCTTAACTAAAGCTAAACTTCTGACTAAAGCAAGTATATAATATTATAATAATTAATATTATAGTAATACGTTAATTTATAATTAATTATATTTGTAGTAATACGTTTATCTAAAAATTTCTATGGATGGAAAGATATCTCAGAAGCAACATGAGTTAAAAATGTGGTTATGAGCATGCGCAGAGATAGGTTTTTGGAGAGACAAGACGTAATAAAAGATCGCAAGAAACCGCTGCAAATTATTCTGATACAGATAGAGGTAACTAAGGTAACAGTGGAAATTAAAATTGTACTCGTAAAGAGGCGACGGATAAATATAATTTCGTTTCCTAAATTTTTGAAAGATCTCAGAAACGTGTGCAATGCTGGTCGAGATGCATTGTACAATTACCGTGAGTAGCTTTTCCAACTGGTATGAATGTTTTCGGGAGAAAGAAGAAACTGTGGATGATGAACCACGTTTTGCTCGTTATTCAACTAATTTGACAATCGACAATATCAAGCAATGGTCTGTTCCACGTCACGGAGCTCTTGGAACTCGCACCGCATTTCTTCAACTATTGAGAATTTTGTCGTTTGAAAGTTAATAGTTGCCGTTTTAGAGTTGATTTTTCTATTGATTCAATTAGCAATTTTCACATGATGTCATTATTCTTTATTTAATTATAATTCTTTTATCAATATTTTAAATATTTTGTGTCTGAAAATTAAACTACAGTAAAAAAAGATTCCTACTGCTCACGATTTTTACAAACTTAGAAAACATTCCTACTGAACATGGTTTGATCGTTCTGCTTTAAATGCACCAATCAAAATCTCAATTTTTAAATATATATTTTATGGTAAATTTTATTTGATGAAAAAGCGACAATATTAAAATATTGTCGGAGCAGTGTTGGATGATATTTTGTAGAGCAGTGGGAATGAATTGAGATTATGAGAGCTTCTTCTCGAAAGATTATGTCCACACAAATTTTTGTGCACGACACATATTTGAGCTCTGAGCTATTTTACCAAATTGGTGTTAAAGTAATAGTTAAATTGAAAAAAGGTTAAAGACGTATGTAACAGCTAAAAAATATCAATTTATTTTTTTAAAAATTTACTTTCGCCGAATATCAAAGAAACATGAATTAGCCTTCGTTCAAAGCACTGTCGTAAAGCATGACAGTTTTTGAAGCCAGTAATTTCATAACTTTCTTCTTATTCCATGCTTCTTCATAGATATTTCTTCTAAAATTATAATGGCTTATTTCAGGTGTGCCGAAGGTTACGGAGGGCAACGTTGTCAAAACAAGGCAATATCTACTTTGAGTAGTAAGTATTACCAAAATATTTTTTTTTAAATTGTGCAGCTTATATTTAATAAAGAAATAATTGGAAAATAAAAATATCAAAATAAATAAAGTATTTAAAAAATTAATGAAAGGTTGTGGTTCCTATATTGCGATTAATAATTCGGATTTTCATCCCGCAATGTACTGAGCTAAAAAAGCATACAGGAACTGTTTATATTATTCAAAATTTGTGAAGAACAAAATGGTGAATATTGATTTCTGATTTAATAAAATTTTCATTTTTTAAGAAATATTTGTCGGCTTTTATCTGTTCAATTGTTTGGATATTTATCTAAAATCGAATTCTCATTTTTTAAATTAAAAAAAAAACTAATAAAATAAATAAAAACACACGCTTTTTCTGGAATATAGATCGGCTGTATGAACTTTAAAATTACAATGTAAGCTGGAAGGTTTGATTTATGCAACAGTAATATATTTAGACTTGGAGAATTTTTCCTAAAACTATTTAATAACGCTTAGATTGAAAAATTGACCATGTCAGTAAATTAACTGCTAATTCGTCTATACACCGGTTTATAAAAAGCAACGTAAATGCAGCACAATCGAAACTATATGAAATAAAAATAAAACTTTTTCCAACGTACCATACGTTTTTTGAGTTAATACTAGTGTGGATAATAGTATACCCGTACCAGTACCATTTACAGTATCATAGTTAACTTAAGAAAAAAAAATTTCAACAAACGTTACTTCTAGAATTGCATTATGCATTTAAAACGCTTCATAAAGTTGTGAACAGGGGGGGAAATGTAATTTTTAAAGACTTAGACGCTGTAAAATACGTTATCTTGTCCGATACACTCTAATTTCTTACCCCCGTGCCAAATTTCCAAATATTTAAACTGCTAGCACTAACAATTTTTCCAACACCACCACTCTTCATTAAATAACCACTATCTTACAGATTCAAATCATCTTAAATATTTTCACTGTCTAAACGAATAAATGCAAAAATCTTTATCGGAATTCGAAAAGACCAGTGCATATAAACTTTTCATCGCGCCAAATTATTTACAACCAGATAAGTTTATCTTATGCTATTTACGTATATGAACTCACATATCTAATGATGATCCTAATATGAAATGCAGTTTGGTGTTATCCTGGTACAGTGATATGAAGAATAATCAGAATCTTTTAATAAATCAGTGATAATAAATTTAAAAAGCATTCCCATGTATAAATAAAAGCAACGGAATAATCAATTATTCTTAATTGAGTGTATGAATCTGAAGTTTTTAGAGGAAACAAGGCAATGACATTTTCTTGTATAGTGAGAAAATCAAGTATAAAGTTGGGAACTTTTAGACTTTGATTTGCTTTGGTAGTTTTTAATCATATTTTAAATTTTATATTTAAACTTTAACCTTTAATATTTAGACTTAAGTATTACACAGTATTACAATAATAATGATTAAATATTAATCCCAAAAAACTGAAGTAGTACGATATTACTCGATTAAAAACTTCATTCGCTTCAAAAATATACTAATTGGAAATAACAATCGACATATTTGAAGCTCTGAAGACTTTGCCAGATGTGAAATCAGAAGAAACAAAACTTTTCCATTCTGGCAAGTCTTGAAAATGGGGTCCTGTTTTTGAGCACTTGAAACATGTTGACTGTATCTCAAATTTGTAAATTTTTGAAGCGAAAGAAGTTTTTTTATCACGTAATAATAATGACTAGCTGTGACTTAATTTTGATGGAAAAAAATATAAAAATACCTAATCTGCTGAATTTCAATCAAAAACAACAGTTAAAATCACAAATGATAATGAATTTTTTTTATATAACCTATACGTGTTTCGATGTTACAATTGTAAGCCTTCTTCAGTTGGATAAATGCCATGGATGGTAAAGCAGAGATGATTTAATCTGACAGAGGTTGCTTTATACTAAAGCAATAACGCAATTAAAGGTAAAACATTAAAACAACAGAAAATTAAAAAATTAATTATTTCTAAATATTTGACAAACCCCAATTTAAATGTATTATTGTAAAAAAGAATTATTATATTAATTTTAGTTTATCTGCTAGATTTTTTTTAAAAAAAATTATTTTAACCAAAATCTGGGGTGTCACACTTGTTGTTATAACCTCTCTCTTCTTTGTCACAAACTGTCACTATTTCACCAAACTCCTAACTTCCCTTCAAACTTGACATTAATGGATCGCTGCTAAATAGGTAACAGACTGAATATAACTATTACAATTTTTTTAAAAAAAAATTAGTACCTTTCTCCTCCGCTGTTACATTGGCCAAATTGGCAGCAATTTAAAATATCTATTAAAAATATCTACAATACTTTAATTAAAAATATCTACATTTGAATTGAATTTTCCTTTCTAGTTTTAAAACAATTTGACTTTAAATGTAACTTTAGCGAGAATTGAAGTAAATGGTAAGGCCCATTATAAAAAGAGTGGGTCCGCTGTTTTTCAGTACTGCTGCCATCTAGATTTCAATCACGTAATGATTTTCTAAGGTGAAACTTATGGGGTAAAATAAAGATAAAGCTAAGAGGCGTTTTACTGGATTTATGATGCACTAGAACAGTGATTCTCAACCTTTCTTTTGTGGCGGCACAATTTTAACGATTTCGAAATTTGCCGGCACACAATAAAAAAAAATTAGTTTAAAAGTTGTTTACTTACCTATAATACACTGTGTTAAATAGTTAGTGATAATAATTTTGAATGTGAAATAAAATAATATGTACAACAAAAGCACGTTTATTAAGAGATAATTATTTCTTTCGACTAATTTTGTATTAGTTGGTAACAGTTATTTATTTTTTTGCTAGTTATTAATTGTTAACTTGTTTTCTATAGTTATTAACTGTTAGTTTTTCTACATTGCTATTTTTGTGTGATTTCTTGTTAACTAGTTTTTTTGCTAATTAATTGTTAGCATGTTTTTTTGTTAGTTATCCTTTGCTAATTCACTTTTATAACTATTAATTGCATAGCTTACTTTAATGATTAGCTTTTATTTCCGTTTGAAAATCATATTTAGTTTTCTTTCTTTTGTTAATTAATAATTTTAATGGTCATTAAATTTTCTACTTATTTCAACATTTTTTGAAATTGCCATAGACAATTTAAATTTAAATGCTTCCTTCTTATTTTAACTTATTTTGAGATTGTCAGAGACAAGACAATCGATGACAAAGATTTTCACGCTGTTAAAGCCCGGAAAAATTGTAAAAGTATATATATATATATGATATTATACATAATATACACTTTTCTTTAATTTAAACTTTACTCGTAATAAAAAAAGCATTTTAATTTTTATTGTATCATTTCTAATATTTGGCGACACATTTTAAGAATTTGGCGGCACACAAAAGTGCCGCGGCACAGTGGTTGAGAATCACTGCACTAGAAGATGACTGCGTTACTTGAAATGTGTGGTCATAGTAATTAGTAGATTATATTACTTTCAGCTGTAAGTACATTATTTGATTAAATGAGTGAAATAATTAAGAGTGAAGTGAAGAAAGTAAGAAATGAGTGTAAATAAAAACTAATATTTTGTATCCCTTTTACCTAGACAAAAAATTAAATAATACCCTTGATTAAAAAATTAAATAATATCCTAATCATTGGTCACAATTAACTCTCAAAAGTAAAGAATATCTTGTAAGTTCTTTTAATCTTTGCTGAAAAGTTTAGAATATTTTTTGAAGACAGCACCAAACTAAGTTCTGAAATGTCGGCGCCGAAAGTGGTCGATATTTGTCAATAGTATTCGAGAATGAGATGCGAGTATGAGATTTTTAATTTTAAAATTATCAAAACACTTTTAATAATCTAGAACGCAACAACAAAGAGCTAGGAGGAGCAAAAATAAAATAAAATGATTTTTAGGAAGGAAATTCTTTAAAATTTGTTTTTAAAAAAATTATTTTTCCCCTATTAGCTTTTATTTCAATTTTTTATCCTGAAGAAAAAATTAAAAACTTCACTTACGCTCTCAAAAAGACAAATTTCTCCCCTAACTACTCCCTCTAAATATAATTTTCTCAATTGAAATGAAAAGAGAAATTGGGCAAAGCTTCAATACTCTACAAAACAATCAGAAGCATCAAAAACAGAAAAAGACAATGTGGGCAAACTGCTCATGAGCGCCATTAAAGAAATGGGGGGGGGGAACAAAAATACCATTTGTTTGAAACTATTATTTTTCTTGCGAAAAATAAAAAATGTTTGAGAGAAAGACTAAAGCTAGATGGAAAAATGGATAATAAGCGAAAACTAGATAAAGAGAGAAAGTAGATAGACAATCTACCCCCATAAGTATTCATACAGAATATGTATGACTAATATTTAAACTTAAGAAATAGGCAAAATATTTACATGTTTCCGTTTTTGACGATATAAAAAGAATGAAGTTATGGAAAAGGCCACCTATGCACCCACACCGAAAGGGCAGAAAAGCGAGAATGCTCCCCTCCCCCTCTACTCAGGTTCTGGCATCCCCATTATTAAGTAAGAAAATAATAATAAAAGAATTCCATGGTTCACTTCATTATCGTTTTAAAGCTACTTAAATCTCCAGAAAATTCATTCCCGAATATAATTATTCATTGTTCGTTATTTTCGACTTTAAAATGCTTCCAGACCAGAAAAAGAAACAGCCTAGTTATCATTAGCTGTATCGTAATCTATTAAAAACCATATATTTCTCGTTTTCCTTCATTATAGACATGAAAATAACCGTTCGCCATGCGCCACGTAGTGAGTGAACAAAAAAAATTTTTTTTAAGTATGCAACCGATCACTTTTTTCCATCTTATAAAAAAAAAAAAAAAAAAAAAAAAAAAAAAAAAAAAAAAAAAAAAAAAAAAAAAAAAAAAAAAGGAGAAGAAGATTACTTAATGATAAAAAAGTACATCATTGCAAAAAGTGCATGCATAACTGAAAAACAAAATTTTCATCAACATGTCCAATGTTGCCATTCAAAATTTTGATCCTTTAGAATTCAACAATTTGTGGTGGAAAGATTCATGTGGAAATACAGTTCTGTGACAATTCAAATATTTCAAAATTGTTCAAAGTTTAAATGTATTTTTCCTTCTCAAATATTTTTAGAAAAAAATTCCTTTATGTCTCTATGTTTAGCTGAATTTTCTCACGTATTTATATTCTTTTTACTGTTGAATTAACATTTTAGAGCCATAGATTATTCTAATAAGAATTTTTTTTAAAAATATAATTTAATCCAAGCAACAACAAAAAAATTTGTAAAAAGTGGCAATGATAAGGACGTATCGATATTGGTCACCGACTCATTAGGTTTGAGGAAAAAGTGGCTACTAAGATGTAAGAGTTTATCAGCCACTGGCTACTAACTGAAAATTTGAATTTTCAGGTCTAGTTAATTGTAATTTATTACCCTGAAAGTTCCATATTGTAATTTTTTTTTTATTTAACAACTTTAGATGACACGGCAACTTTTTGAATATTTTTGTCTCATTGGCAAGAACAGTTCCTGTTTTAGTATATGGTAAGATTGAAAGATTAATACGATGAGCTTTGGAAACAGCAGCTATTTAACTATCTAAAATAACAGTAACTGCTTTTGGTGGTTATTTTAAGTGATAATCTACTAAGAAAAATTCAAATTTTGCAGTACTAATATCCTAACCTGACTGAATATATGAATCAATAAATATTTTTATACAGAAAAAAAAAAGTAAATGCAAAGTTCAAAGTGGCAATTAATCCATTAACAGCTTAAGAGCAAATTTTCAGTGATATTTTGTATATTAATTGCTGTAGGAAATTATAACTAAAAAATGTCCTTCCTAGTATTTTTTTCTTTTTTTTTGTAAAAAATTTGGGGGGGGGGGGAAGTAACATCAACTTCTTCATAAGCGAGGTACATATTTCAGTACCTCCAACAAGTAGAAGGTACCCACGGCTGGATAAGTTAAAATGGATAAGTTCTCAAGACTACTAAAATTTTTATAAAGTTTGCCTTCACTTTAGTTTCATAAAATCGATTTTGAAAATATCGATTTCATAAAATCGATATTTTTGAAAATATAGACAAAGCTGGGCACAGGTTTTACGGTTTTTTTAAATGTAATAAAGTCATGATTTTATTCAAACTTTAAATACATAGAAGATTAACATTTGAACTATATTCTATGAGATTTTGATGTAGAAATTTTAAAAATTTAGCCGTTGAAAATTGGCTTTCGAAAACTTTTAGAAGAAGTAAGTAGTCAGGATAAATTATAGTAGCTTTCAGTGAAATCAAAAAAATAAATATTTGTTAATGAGCGAGTATAATTCACGATTGAACAAAACATTTAAAATATACTCCTGTGTGAAAATTTAAATTTTGACAGAATTGCATGCAAAAAAGAACTACTGTAAAATCTATAGATACTTTCTTCAGTCAATTGCTTCTTGAAGAAGCGTACATAACTTCAATTAGATCTGTAGATTAACTTTTAACAATATTCTATGAAGTTTAAAATAATCAAGTCCATCGACTTCAAAAATAGAGTTTTTCGAAAACTCTATTTTTCTAATTTCGCTCTCGGTTCGTCGAGTGAAAATTTAAATTTCGACAAAATTGCATGCAAAAAAGAACTACTGTAGGATGTATAGATATTTTCTTTGGCCAATTTCTTCTTGAAGAAGCGTACAGAACTTCAATTAGATAGATGGATTAACCTCTAACAATATTCTATGAAGTTTAAAATAATCGGGTCCATCTACTTCAAAAATAGAATTTTTCGAAAACTCAATTTTTTTAATTTCGCTCTCGGCCCGTCGAGTGAAAATTTAAATTTTGGCAAAATTGCATGCAAAAAAGAACTACTGTAAAATGTATAGATATTTTCTTTAGTCAATTACTTCTTGAAAAAGTGTGCATAACTTCAACTAGATCAGTGGGTTAACTTTTAACAATATTCTACGAAGTTTAAAATAATCGGGTCCCTCGATTTCAAAAATAGTTTTTCAAAAACTATTTTTCTAATTTCGCTCTCGGTCCATCGAGTCTAATCGAAGAGTTTCAAAAAAAATTATCTTTCTTTTAGAGTTTTACTCTGATTAACTTATAGCTTTGAGAAAACATATTTCTCATGTTGTACTATCAAATAATAATTTCATATTTTTATTTATTTTTTAAATTTAAATCCAAATAACCCTTATGTTATATAGTTAAATAAAAATAATGTTAAGAAGGGAAAATAAACACAAATTATGGTGTATCATTAATGTCCGAAAAATTATCAAAATATGGAACAGTTGAAGTACCACTTAAATGAATAATTAAGCTACAAAGAAAAACATTGCTTTGGAATTTTTTCCAACAAAATAAATTAATAAAGCGCAGAAATGTTTTTAGCGAGATTCTGCTACGCAGTGCCATGAACTGCGCAAAATCTTTTAAGAGGCATTTACCAAAAAGAATTTCTCATTTGCCACAAAATACTACGGTTTAAAAAGTTCATCTGTTGTCCCAACAAAACTCTTCAAATCACCCCTTAATTGATGACACAAGAAGATCTGAAGTTCCAAGAAAATGGCTCAATTAACTTGTTAGTCGAATATCCGGCATATCTCTAAATGTCTCTATTTCTTGTTAAGTGATTAAAGACTGAATGTACTCTAAATGAATAAAGTTCATTGCTCAGAAAACAATTATACCTGTGCCCATTACTTGTATTCCCTATACCAGCGGTTCCCAATTTTATTCATCCATGGAACCCTAAATGACTGAACTTCTTTTGGCGCTACCCTGACTTTACAAATACAATTCCATAGCAGCTATGAATTTATAAACTAAAGAATAATTACTAATTATTTTCTAAATATTTAACGTTAAGAATGAAATATTTTCATTATTTTATTGGAAAATAGTCTTAAAATTAAGTTTTATGTCAGGCAATCAGATCTGGAATGGTAATGTCTGGCAAAAGATCTGTTCGTTCTTCACCAAGATACATAAGATGAAAATTAATAAAATAGGCTAAATTATGGTATTCGGGGAGAAAAAATTGTTATAAATTTTGAGAATGCTTGTAAGAATTTTTTTTTCAATTTAGTTATTCTTGAATTTAGTAATTGTATGGAACCATTAATGATTGAATTTCCTACCCAGGAACCCTAACTATACAACCCTGACCTTCGGAACTCTGCCTTTATAGATGCAGTTCTGTATCAGCTATAAATAAACTAAAGCTATAACTAAAAGAAGACTACTAATTATTTTTCAAATATTTAATGTGAAGAATGAAATATTATCAGAAAATTTTATCAGAAAATAGTCTTAAAAGTAAATTTTATTTAAAGCAATTAGGTCTTGAGAGGCAATAGCTGGAAAGGAATTTTTTCCCGGTGTATGAAAATAAATAAAATAAGCTGAATTATAGTATTTGGGGGGGGGGAAACTATTATGTATTTTGAGAATGGTTATGAGAAAAACATTTTTTACTTTTCAATTTAGTTATTCTTGAATTTAGTTATCGTATCCATTAACGATTAAATTTCATACCCTGGAACTTGTCTTTATAAATACAGTTCTGTAGCAGCTATAAATGTACTAACTAAAAGAAGACTACTAATTACTTTCCAAAATTTTAATGTGAAGAATGAAATATTTTAATCGTTTATTCGAAAATATTCGGAAGAATTTTTTGTATCCAGCAATCAGGTCTGAAGTTTCATTGTCTAGCAGTAGGTCTGGAAGGGATTTTGTTCTTGGTATATACATAATTTTTTACACTTGAATTTAGTAATTTTATTTTTAATTACAAATTCTGATGAGAAATACTGACACTTTTACATAAACACAGATCCTTTTTTTTAATTCATTTAGTATAATGTTACTATTTTTTTTGTTGCTATTTCTTGTCTTATTTGCATTTATTTAAATAACTTCCTAAAATGAAACAAAAATATATAAAAACAATAACAGGTTTAAAAAGCTATTATTGCTTTAAAAAATGAACTCTCGGAAACCCTGCGATCTCTGCACGGAACCCTAGGGTTCCTCGGAACACATTTGTCCTTTACAACAGATAAAAGTTTATTTTCTGTCATCTTAGTAAGTTTTATTGAAGTTTTTTTGCTAAAATGGTTCCGTTTATGCAAAATTTTAGTTCAAAACGTATGCAACGAAGTATGACTATACTTAAACTAAAGTTTGAAACATCATATCAAGAAAGTTACAAGATTATTAAAAGTAATTATAAGCCACTGAGAGGCCACTTCCTCCGGCTTATTGGATTTCAGGTTCTATGTTCTTTGCAAACTTTAGATTATAGAGTACCATTAGATAGCACTATACCTTTTTTAAAAAATGTTAAAAATAAAGGAGCCGATTTATCATATTAAGAAAAATAGCTATCAATAACTTGTTCAACTTCAGCAAATTTTTTCTCAAAAATTTAAGGCAATATACAGTTAGTAATTTAAGATAGGATGTTAAATACTATACATAACAAACATATACAAAAACGAAGAAATTTCTCAAAAAATCTAAACAACTCTTCAAAAAAAAATATGATTGCAGATGTATTTATATTACTTTTCCAGAAAATTAGCTTTTCATTTATATCCCATTCTGTTAGGTGACGTTGTATTTTATAAGCTTCGAAAGATATTGGGGAATGCAGTAAATATCCCTCATCACTTAGAAAAATGAAAGAAATTAAAAATTTTATATTTCTTCCCCTTAGTCTATACCCCTAGAGCAGTTGAGTAGGCTGGCAAGGGAAAACACCCCTAAGCCTATTAATCATTTGCCCCATCATTCACCAAATTACCGCAATTTGTTATAATCAATTATTTATTACAATATGCGTACAAAGAGCCGCGATGGCTCAGCGTTCGCCTTCCAATGAGGTGAACCGGGTTCGAATCTCAGTCGATACGAATTCCGCATCCGGCTTGCGCTGACCACAGTGCTGACGTGAAATATCCTCAGTGGTAGACGGATCATGGGTTAGAGTCCCCTTGCCGTCAGGTTAACCGTGGAAGGTTCTCGTGGTCTTCTGCACCATGTAACGCAAATGCGGGTTAGCTCCTTCAAAAAGTCCTCCAAGAAGGCAACATTTCTCCCAATATTCCATCTAGGAGTTCCTTTGTCTTCTGGATTGGGTTCAAGACTACGGAGTTGAACATTAGTAGTCGTAAACCCATAAAATTGGGACGGCTGTTCAACGACGGTTACAAAATAAAATAAAATATGTGTACAAATGACGAAATGGCAACTGGTGATTTACAATGAAATGACGAATTTTATATACATGTGGATATATGAGTAAAACAACTAAAATTTCAAAAAAAAAAAAATTTTTTTTAAACGTTTATTTTAATACTTTGGTTTTTTTCTAAGACGCATTTGAAAATATTTTTCTAAAATCATTTCATCACATTTTAAACTGAGATTCATGTCAGCGATAAGAAAAACATTGTATATTGCACTTAAACAGAAGAATACATTAATACATTTTTTTTTTCTTTTTTTTTTTTTTTTTT